AAAGCGTTATGCGTGGCTAATTTCCCTTACAAGTGTGTGTGCACACAGGCACTCAGCCAAGGGTGGCGGGCGCCCATTTTAGATGTGGCAAGGCCCCAGGCGAGCACCACGGACCCACAGTCACATGCTGTCAGCCTTGACATCTCACATGGGATGGCAGCCTCCACACTGTGCAGGAAACATGTACTTGGTGTCTTCCATCAGGACAGTGCCACATATCTCACCCACTGTACGCTTCAAGGAAATACTGGCCTGCCTTCTTTTTAAGATTACTTTCTCAAGCCTTACCAACAGCAAGAGAAATTATATGGTCCAAAGTAGCAGGCACAGAGAATTTGATGAGTCTAGCTGGAACTTTGACTCAGAGGGCTCTTGTCCCATGGGTCCTTAGGGGTCTCCCAAGATCTTTTAGAAAAGGCAGGGTAAGAAAAATAGGTTCCTCATTAGGGTGTTCATTTAGGTCGTATCTCTATGTACCTCTACATTGCAGAATTTCAAGCTACAGGCAGCATATATTAGTCTTTGTTTATTTTGTTTGTTTTTTAAAAGGAATCTCCAAGCCATTGGCATGTATCATACAAAAATACTGCAGAAAACAAAACCACCATAAGGACTAGAATATTTATGCATTTTTTTCTATGAGGAAACTTTCACACCTATCATTTTTGTGACTAGAATTATTCTAATTCATCTGTTAAGATAATCATCCTTTAAAAAATGTGCTGTCTTAATTGTTGTCATGTAACATATATTGATGAAACTATATATCCAAAATTATAAGGACATATCCTTTTGCACTACTCTGACTTTCTTCTACACACACTTGCAACATTTGCAAGCAACGTTTTCCCTTTAGGAATGAAAGACTGCAAGCAAATGATGAAATATTAATCTTACAGATTTAGATTATTTACAAAACCAAGGAAGAAAGCACCAGGAAACCTCCTAGAAATAAGCTTCATGCTCTAAATAATTCCCATAGATTAAACAGAACTCGCAATCAGAACAAAGGAAGAATATGACTTTCTTAAAATTCAGACTATCTGTCCTTCAAAACACATCATTAAAATCTTTTCCAATCTGTTGCAAACGAGATACAGCAAGAAGCACAGAGTACAAGACTTTGTAGTATCTGCAATGAGTACCGCAAACCAAAACAAACATCTTATCTGCTCCACATGTTTTCCTGGGAAGATGAACAAGCACGTTCTCTGGTGCAGCCCAGCTGGCAAGTCTCTCTGCAAAGCCACAGTCTGCTAACCATCATTTCTTTTTTCCACAAAGCTCAGGCTTTGATAAGGCAAAATTATTTAAAATTCCCCATGCTGTTCTACCTCCCTGCCAGTGATCCAGTATTATCGCAAGTGTGTTCTCTTCAACTGCGCTGTGATGCTATGGAGTTCTGCTAAATTTATTGAGGAGTCCTTTCAGTGGTTAGCTATAACACAGTACAGTGGTTATCCTCCTAAATGATGATTAAGCGTTTGGGTAACATTTAATTGAAAATGTCAGTTTTTTTCAAATCATGGCTGCTTGGTTCACAATCCAGTTGAATGTGATTTTGTCTATCAGTAATCCATGACAAAGATAGATGAGCTTAATCCCGTCCCTCGGGTGATCATATAAAAAAGCTTACCCCTTTGGACAAATCTCAGGCTCAGATAATTTCACAGTATTAGTTAAGGGTTAACGTGCTTTGTGTTTGTTTCTTTTCTCAAATATTTTACCTTTTCAGTTGTAACTAATTTCATGCGATCAGCAACTATACAGTAAATTGTATTCTACTAACAACATAATTCTAAAAACATATTCTAAAAACAACGTAGCAAAAAGACACATTTTCACAGGACTTTCAGTTTCACTTGCATCATGCTGCCCTGGAGTGAGGTGGGGTCAGCAGTGATGCTGGGGACCAGGGACAAGCCAATGACTTTAGGTCTGAGAAGCCAGGACAGCACAGGCTGTAAAGAGGTTTCACCAGCAGTACTTTCCTCAATACATTATCTGAGGAGATTTGCAGCCATCCTCTTCCCATCTCACTGAGTTATCTCTAGCCCTGGCATATTGCATGGCCCAACAGAAAGAGTCTCGGCAGGGTGAAGCAACTGGTGCTGACAAGCTAGCACCAACCTGGGGTGTGAGTGCCTCACAACATCATTCTGAAGTTGGTGTCCATTGGCTGAGCTCTCAGAGAGCATCTTCTATTTTGGCTTCCTCCTAAAAAGATGCTGCCTGTGCACTCTGGGACAGCTACCAGTACACAGTGGTAAGCAGAGACATTGGATAATTTACTTCAGAAGCTTACCACTAACCTGAGCTAAAACCCAAATCTAGATGGACCCTTGCTATAGTAACACCATAACTGGCAAGAGCCCTTGTAGTCACTACATTTCAGGCAGGTTTCATCTCTTTTCTGCACTGGCCCTGGTTTGATTATTAGCTCTATTTTTAGCCACCACTTTGTGAAAGAGGATGCCTGTGTGAAGAGTTTGGTTCCATTTCAGGCTAAGGACACAAAAAGAGGTTTGTATCTGCCAGAGAAAGAAATATCACATACAATACTGAATACCCCAGGGAGGGTGGCTTCTGAGATAAAGTTTACAGTAATCTCATCTTGATTAAAACCAAGTGAAATTGACAATATCTCATTTCTCTGCTGCTTTATTCTTTGGGGGTCATTGTCAATTAATCTGTAGAAAAGATGGCACGAAGCATTCTCAACTCAGGCTGAACCATTCAGTTCATGGAAGGACTCAAGAAAGAAACGAAGCTCAAGGTGGTGAATGTTTGTGAAAGGTCATTCTTATCAGAAGTAAGAGAAAGCAGGAGACAGAGAACCTGCCTTTACTGCTACAGCGTGGGGAGAGAGACGAGAAAAGGGCAGAGGCAGACAGAGTTTGAGAGAAGACTTTAAAAGAAGAAAAAGGATGGATTTAAAAAAGCAAAGCAGAGATATAAGTGACTGCTCTCAGCTCTAAAAGCAACAAGTTTTTCTCCAATACCAAGAAAGAAGCAAATCAAGCATAGGGAACAGGTGGGAGAAGTGGCCCATCCTAAGTTAAAGGCTGTGGGAAAACTTGAGAGGATTATTTTGGACACATTTGTAACACAGTGCAGATAAGGGCTTTCCTTTTTTAATTGAAATGCAACTATAAAAAACCTTCACAACATGATACCGAATTTTATTGAGAAAAATGTCTTGCCCTTTAAAAGAGTCAGGATAAAGGTGAGGAAATCTATTCAGCTAAATAATTCCCAAGAAGCGCTAGGACACCTCCCTTTCATTTTAGATACAAATGTAGTTATGTGACACGACTTAGCAAGTGATTTAATAGCTCTTGTCATGAATGCTATTCATCTGCTAGATGCAAATCTGGTTTGCTATTCATATTTTTCAAAAGCACTAACGCAGCTATTTTTTTCCTATCTTTTACCTACTACATCTTTAGAGTGCAATTTTAACTTTTGTGCAAAGCAGCAAAGATCTTTCAGCCTAACTTAATGAGCACCCACCTAGTTCCCTCCCTGCTCCCGCTCCTCCTCGAGACTGAGCAGTTGGGCTGATGTTGTGACTGTCTTGAAGAGAGAGTTCATGAAAAAAGGAAGGTAACAAATTCTCCTCATTCCTCTCAAAAGATTGTCATCATTGTCATCATGATGAAAAGGCTGGTTCTAGAGTGGGCTCTCTTGCCCATAAGGAGTAAAATCCTTTAAGAAATTCCCATAACATCGCTTACTCTCAAGCCCACCTTGTGAGTACAGGGTAGTTTCAGAATAATGAGAAGCCTCATTATTTAATAGACAGCGATGCTGAACTCAGAATTCTATCCCTTCTTGAACTGTCAGACTGCGTCCAACAAGAAGAGTCCAACCACTGCTGAGCCTTTCTTAGAAGCAAAAACTGACTTAAGACTCATTTACAGCAATTCTCACCAAGAAAATGCAATATGGTTTCATCTTGAAAAAGGGAACACAAACTGCGGTGTAAGATCATACCTGCACATTGGCATTTTCTGTTTTTAGCTTCAAAGACACAAAATCTACTGCTATTTTCAGGAAGCTCCATCAGAAGGGAGGGGGCATACAGCTCGTCATATGCTATGGGGGAAAATGACAGCGTGTACATATTCCTTGGCCTCAAAAAAATAAAAGAGAAGCAGGAATTCTATTACTACTCTGAAAGTGGAAGAGTGAAAATAGATTATAAGGCAGAGGGAGGAGACCGCAGATTAAGTCTGGACAGTATTGACAGTTTGGATTTTTTTCAGCACAATCTGTTTTGGGAAGCCTGGACTGGGAGGGAGAAGAAAGATAGTCTGGGCATGCGGTAGATAGATTTTAATACCCTCTCTCATTCTTCTCCTCTAGGCTCTCTTCATTCTCTTTACTCCCGGCATCCTCAATTTTTCTCCAATGCACATAAAGGATACCTTTAAACTAAGAAACAAGCACACCTCTGGAAAACACGCCTGCTCTTTTCTGGAAAGTGCATGGGAGAGCTCAGCTGCCACTCCCTCGCTCGGCTGCCACCAGACAGCTTGGTGACAAGAGAGATCCCTTACAGCCTAAGTTAGCATGAGGCAGGGAAATGGCGTATGACATTAAAGTTCAAAGCAGCTGATTACACCTTTGATGTGTTGCCAAACTGTTAGCCCAATGACACTATTTTTTCAGCTATATTGATCTATTTTCTAAATAGCTTTTCTTAACCCCACTCTTCAACAAGTGGAAAACCTCAGGAAGAAATGTATTATTTGTATTCTGAGGAGAATTGAGTACTATTTTTGGAATACTTCTTTTATATAATAATGAATTATTATATAGGGGGATTTACCCCCTCAACAGAGACCAAGAAATTATCTTTATTTTCCCCCTCCCAGTGCTCTCCTTCAGGCTCTGAAAGTAAACATTTAAAAATGCATGCAGTTAGTGGGTTGCGTAGGACACCGCTCTGTCAGAGCGAACACTGTGATCAATCTCATCAGGCTGTTTGTACTTACAATCATCTTCCACTTCCTCATACCAAAGCACGTGAGCAGACATGAAATCTCTCCACAAAACAGAGGAAAAGAAAACAACAGTAAAACGTTTCTTGGCAAAGTATACTCCCACTTTGCTGCTTCAGTCGCTTTCGAATGAGGCTCGTCCCTGCAGATTGACAGCAGTGTGTGTTCCCACCTAAACCCCGGCAAGTTCGCAGGGCAGCACACAGCGGGAGTCTCGGTGGGTTGCAGCCAGCAGGGTCCGCACCGGGCAGGGCGAGCCGGGGATCCTCGCTGCCACCCAGCCGGCACCGTAACTCGTGCCCTGCTCTTTGGAGGCCCCTACATGTTTCAAATTCCAGGACTTGCGCAGAAGCAATGCTCTCTGCTTCCTTCAAAACGAAGTTGATTTCCCATAATAGGACAGCCCATGCACTCTACATATAAGGCTCTGCTTCTAGGGTGGCATGTGTAATGGGTTTAAATCAAATGTTGCGCGTTTCCAAAGAGTGTTTAATGCAACAGAGTGAAGATATTTCTTGATCCCTTTGCCCAGCTGCCTTGAGTCTCCTGTATAGGAGATTTCCCCCTCCACAGCCACTGACCCACTGTCCATCCCAGCCTGAAGGATCCCTGTTTAGGACAGGGGAGGCAGCTCTCTGGCGTTCAGCCACTCTGTCCCAGCTCAGACTTATGGGATTCCAACCACTCTGCTGAGCAGAGGGAGAAAGAAAAAAAAAAGAAAAAAAAAGAAAGGAAACAATTTTGTTCCCAAACTGTGTAAATACAAACACAGGTTGCGATAAGTCTGTACCAGCTTGGAGAGAAAAAATACTACTGACTTACATTTGACCTTTCCACTCCCAACAAAACCACGCAGTACTGCTGCTAGACACAGCCCAGGAATGAGTTGCAGAAGAAATAGGGGAGTGTACGGAAACATTCTTTAATTTCCAAATCCCAAAAGCTGCATATCCCAAAAAGGTGGGACCTGGGCTTGCCCCTTCCCCTGCATCAGCCCAAGTTTTTATGGAAAAGCAAAAACAAGCATCCATTTTAGAATGGGACTGCAGCTCTAGACTCAAGCCCAGACTTTTATATGGCTACTTTCTAGTGTGTATATATATATATATATATATATACATATATATATATACTTTGTACAGTATATATGGCCATAAGGAATCATTATTAATTCAGTGCTTCATTTGAAAAGTCATTTGAAAGAACACACTTAATTTGCTCATTGTTCTTTAAAAAATCATCCTTAAAAATAAATTGCCAATACATCACTCTGCTTTCAAGCCTAAAGTGTTCTAATGGTGATTAGACATTTGTAAGTAAAATCCTGGATTATACAGAAAAATAAACACGAAAATGAATTGCGTAACATACCTTTATGGCCACTGGTATTTTCTACATCAATAGTCAAATTAATACCCTGGAGAACTCGGATGTACAGTACATGTCAACGGACTCCTACGGATTAATTTGTAGTCCACAGGAACTGCAAGTCATGAACTGATGTAGAAAATAATCTGGAGCGAAGCAGAGCACTCTGTGACAGCAGCAGCATTCTGATTATTTCAGGGAGAACTGAACCAAGCAAACTCAAGAAAGGAACTGCTTATTGCGCAGAAGTTCTTCTAAAATATTCACAGTCACCCTTAGTAACACATACTGATAATAACTGAGTCCCAGGAATGTATGTACTTAATGACCAAAAGCGAAAGCGATCTCCAGAGTAGATCCCTAGTGCTGGAACTGTGATCCTCCTGACTCCTATCCAATTCAGTCTTTCAAGGTGACAGATTTCTATTCAAAACCTTCCAGGTACCTAAAGCTCTGTTTCTGAATATGACTAGAGGGCCTTATCCTTGACAGAGCTCTGCAGTCTGCCTCATACTTAACTGCAGTCGTGGCCCACTGAAATCACAGGAAGTATTCATCTTCTCTGATGCTGTATTTGAGACCACCAGAGAACATCAGACCAGGCTTTGCAGGAAACATTAATTGATACTTTCTTCTAAAACATGGCTCAAAGAAGTGGGTGGTGACAATACTTACAATAGCTGACATGCCAAACAATCCCTCACACGCAGGAAACCCAGTTTTACTTCCCTTCTTGCTAGGAGCATACAGCAGCTCAAGAGAGACCCAGCTGACCATGCAGAAATTTTCAGCCCAGGAATATTCCCCTCTTGCTGCTGAAACTTCATCACTCAATGGGAAAAAAGTAAAGATTTGTTGGGCCACAGATATGTTTGGGCATACCAAAAGTCAGTATTCAAACCTTCTGTTTTTTTCAGTTGAGCTTTTTGTTTTGTTTTTTGGTGGTTTTTTTTTTGTTTGTTTGTTTCTTTGTTTGTTTCTTTGTTTGAGGAGAGGATTGTTACACAAAATTGAGAAGCTCTTAAAAATTAAAGACTACTTTCAACACTGGTTTATATACAGAAACTTCAACTCTACTGAAGAGATGTTTGATATGCATCTGCCAGTCCCCGCTGGCCAACACAGCATACACTTATAATGCATGTATAACCTGGAACTGAGTTTACAGTTTTGACAGACCAACTTTCCTTGTAAACAGTTGTAGCTGTTGGTTTTTTGCCTGAACTGGTATTAAAAGCTCAACCTGTCTTCAAAAATAGAAAGCAATCCACAGCCTCGCTGTAGATCTCTGTCAGATAATTTCTGTGTGCCCAATCAATGCTGGGACCAGAGGCTGCTCATCATACCATTCCTTCTTGTATGGTGTTGTCATACTACTGCTGAGTACTCTGAGATTGCAATGCCCAGGCTACAGCTGTGGAGAGCAAGCCTCAAAGCCAGAGAGAGGGTGGTCAATCTAAAAAAATCTGGAACAATAAAGAGGCATACTTTAAAAAAAAAAAAAAAAAAAGACAGCTGCAACTCTATTTTAATGTTGTCTTCCTCTTTCACAACCAGTTATGGGTTAAATGAAAGAAAATCATCTGCTCTGCAGTAATGATTAGGGTGATTTTCTGCTGTCCATTAACACTTAGAGAGGCTGTTTATTTTGTTGCTTGAGAAGTCCTTTCAAAACCCATGTGTTGATAAAGTCGAAAATAATTCCTTTCTAATAGCGAGAGCATGACAGGAATTCAAAACTGGAGACAATTCAGAAGAACCCAGTAACAATTTGAAAACAAAGCCTAACAATAAACTGCCTGACCAGGGACTATTTAGGAGGATGGATTTAGTAGACATTGGATAGAAATTGGAAATTTGGGGTCTGATTCAAGAAATATTAAGATATTACAGTTGTCGGAATAACTTATATGGGAGGACAGGTCCCCAGTTAAACATAAATCAAATAAGAACTTCATGTTAACACCCTCCACAGATTAACTCATCTTCCATCGCAGTGCAATTTAGTGTAATGTAAATGAAAAGAAAAAAACCAAACCCCAACACATTATACTGCCATTTATATCCTCTAACTACATATCCTTTCCTGTTAAGAGATAAAAGAAGAAAATAACAAATAGGTAGCACGCCACACAGAACTGATTTACAAATCTCTTATGACTTTTCAGACATCCCACCAGCAAACGTTGTTTGCCAATTCAACATCAGGCACAGTGCTTACAGCATAAATCTAAGACATGATATTTTGATTACAATTTCAGAAAACATTTCAACCTTTATTCTATCATGTTTTCAAATCCTTGCCAAAGCTGACCCAAAAAAAATAAAGTAATACAAGTCTGTCACTCAATTCAACCATTAAGCTCACAACACAGTCTCTTCTGTGTTCTTGCCAGTATTTGGAAATCTATCACATCAATCTGTGTGGGAAGTGCTTAGCTCTAGGGACTATGGGACTGATGCAAAGGGAGAAGTGGGATGGGAATCTTTTAAGCACTAATGCACAGCATGTGGTTTTGCCCTGGTGGTATATTGGCTCTGAGTCTTTTTATTATTCACTTCCTGTCATGAAAAAATACCACTTGCATGTCAACAACAGAGAGAAAAAAAATCAACAGCTTTATCACAACAGAAGTAAACATGGGACTTCTGATTTTCCCGTGTATGCAGCAAAAAAAAAAGAAAAAATAAAATCTTCCCAACATGAGTAACCAAAGCAGAATTTCTTACTTTCATTTCTCAACCTATTTTTACTTCAAAAAAAAAAAAAAAAAAAAAAAAATACACTGTAGAGACTGTTAGCACAGGTTGCAATGTTTTTCTTTTCTCCATATGCTTATTTGATCTGTAGACCAGAAAATAAAAGACAAAAAATAAAAAAATCCTTTGCTCTAAATTCTGAAGGAAGCAGTAGGTTTTGTTTTTTAGATTAGCAGACATTAACCAATGTATAACTTGAAATTTAGTAGTAATATAACAAGGAAGGCAAAGGCCTCTCATATGCAAATAGCTGTTAAAAAAACACCCACTGTTTAAGTCCATGTATTTCTATTTCATGCAACACTTCTGTTTGAGACGATACTTTAATATATGGACCAGCATACTAATTCATTACTGTATTTGTGCTCTTTCCAATCCATCTCCTTCATGCTGTATCTCTGTGGAATATGGTTTATCCCCTTTTTGGAGACTATCTAGAACAAAAAAGGGCTGGGCACATTTCTTACTAGTTTAACAAAAGCAACATTTAGGAAAACAGTAGAAATCATTCTCTTTTACAAAGCTTCAATTAAACTCAAGTTATTCTATCATTCTAAAGACCAAGCAGCACTTTTCATTTATGGGAACTCTCTTCAGGGTCAGGTCCCATTAATCGCTGGATTTGCTGCCTCCACTTTCCCCATACAGAATGCTTTTGCTCTGTAGATCTTTATTCTCAAACCCTGTAAACTCTGACATTCAGAAACTTCTACCACAGCAGAAGTGAAATCAGTCTAAACAGAAGCCAGCTGAATCAGAGTACTCGTGAGATGCACTGAATCCTCAAAAGGAAAATGTAAGAAAGGACAGTGAATTATATAAAAACTAATATTAAGAGTACAAAGAAGAGAAGAAGGGGGTTTGAATTACAAATATATAGACATATATATACTAATATATACTACTTATATATATGGTAGGAGTTGAAGTAATAAAGAAATAGAATTACTCAGTTACGCTACAAAAAAAATCCGGTATTTATCTCTCCAGAGAGGTTCAAATGACCAGAAAGGAGAACAACTTATAACTATTATCCCTTCTTCTAGATGTGTTAAGTGTACCCAAACACTATAAGCATCCAACATAATGTACAAATAGGATCCTCCTTCAGAGTGTTTGAGGATCTAATTCTTTACAAAGAGAGGTGCTGGAACAGGCTGCCCAGAGAGGTTGTGAATGCCC